GCAAAAAGTTGTTCATTAACGTAGCGGTGCTTTGAGCTGAATACTAATGGTAGCATGGCAGTTGTTAACATGCTGATGTTTAGCAGGGATGTTAACATGTTCATAATCTTAGGAGGTTTTCATACTAGGTACAATTAATTTGTACCATGTCTGTGACATTTTTGTTGTGCTACAGAATAGAAGAGGGTGCCGCAGACAGCTGCCTCTGGGACCATCATCAGCGGGGATGGACGAAACAGCTAGGCGAAGTTCTGCTCCCTGTTGGAGAAGGAGCCACTACTGTGACGTAGAGCTCTGCGCCTCCCGTCAAAGCTCTGACAGCCGATCAAAGGCAGCAGGGAAGGCGAATTTGGGTCTGTCCATGATAGGTTGTGCTGCCGTCTGATATAGAGGCACCAGCATTACATTGATGCTGTTTCATAAACAATTAAAATCTCCTTGTAGTTGCATAAAAATAGCACTCCACTTCCTTTTTTGGGTACAGTTGGTGTTTACACCTGATGTGCACCAGACCAGAGTACACGTGAACCGTACTCGAGAATTCACTTTTTTCAAGTGGACCCAAATATGGATCAGTGCGCTATTCCACGGTACAGTAAACAGTATTCACACTAGTTAAACAAAATGGGCTTTGGGGTCAAGTGTACTCGGATGCAGACCTGAGTCCCTGATGGGAAAGCCCCCTTAGGGTGCTTTCACACCTGTCCTGTTTGATTCGGTTCAATCAAACTCAAGTTTGTTTGTGCGGTTCGTTTGGGCAGGTGTGAATACAGCAATCGCACTTGGGTGCGCACCAAAACAACCGGATCGAGACCTTCTTGAAGAGATGGTCTTGGCCCGGTTACAAACAAACTCTGGTGTGGTTCGTTTGTGGTGAGAATGTGTTCCGACCTCGATCCGAACCAAATGCAGTCGTATATTGCATGGTTTGGGTTAAACATGAGCATGTTACAGTCCTGGAGGATTATTAATGTGCACCTCCTCCTGTACTGCCTTAATATGCACATTCAGCACATCCAATGCATCAAAACAGTTGGAGCTGCGCCTCGTTTTCAAACTGTATGGTTTGACTAAAATGAACAATGACAGCAATATAGTCCACGATGAGCAGCGCTAAAATCAACCTGTGTAGTTGTCCCTCCATTGTGACATTAGAAAGTGTCACATTTATCTTGCAAGTGTACTCTTCTTCAACATTTTGTTTACTTCCTGGATTTTTCCCGTATGGAAACTCTGACCAATCAAGAGCAGCTTTCTCGGGCAAGGCATTTGGTCTGGTCCGCTTGTAAATGCTGCCGTGAGAACACGAACCAACTCTAGGCAATTTTACAAGTTTGTACCTAAATGAGTCCCTGATTCTGACCAAAGCAAGTGAACTCTAGGTCTAGTATGTTAGCATAATAACGTTTGCTAATTTGCAAAAAATACAAACTATAGCTGAGACTGATGGGAATATAATTATTTTTGTAGGTATTTAGTCATAATCAGAAGTACTGGACAAATAAAACTTTTGACCTGCAAGATGGAAAGTTAAGGGATCATTGAAAGTTTTATAATTAATTCCAACATGAAAGCTTGTACCAAATGTCTTAGCGATCCATCCAATTGTTATTTCGAGACATCTTACTTATACCACAAATGTCAACCTCATGGTGGTGCGAAAGTGAAACCAAGAGGATCACCAATGTTGATAGGATTCATCCTTTATGCAAAATGAATATTTGCACCGCATGTCATGGTCATAATCTATCTGATAGTTGTCAAGACGTGTCATTAAAATCCCAAAATGTCAACCTCATAGTGGTTTAAGACGAGGAATTGGCAGTGTGCATCCTCAGGGGACCATAAATGCCTGTGAGAAGCCAGTCCAGTCCTTAGCTGGTGAGATGCTTCAGTCAAGTGGTGAACCCACCAAGTACAAGTAGAGTGATGAGTCCCATACCTGCACCAGAGAGAGAGGCAATACCTTTGCTTTGAACCTGTATCACAAGGGATTACCATTCAGGTTTGCACAACACAGCAGACAGGAAGCTGTTAAAGATGAGGACCAACACTGCATCCTGACCCCTGACCCTTACATCCTGACCTCTCCTGCAATCTGACATGAGCCCTTGTCTACATGAAAGCTGTCCTGTTGACTCACCGGGGCTAATTTAGAGTTCCGGCGCCCCTGACCACTGTGAGGACAGACAGTCAGCATGCTGGCCTCTGGACCTGCGGAGGGAACTTGGAAGACTTGTTTTGACCCAGTACCCTTAACTCTTGTTTACACTGGCCTCCTTCAGGCCTTAGATTTTTTTTTTAAATCTATGTACAGAGAGACTGATGCTAAAACTCTAACATAAGCCTGATGGTCTGTTCTCCAACATTGCTCAAATATGACATCAAAGTCAGGCAGCAGTTTGCCCCATTTACCGCTTTTGTCCAAACAGCATTTACAGTGTTGTTTGCAGCCCATCGCCGAGGGCTTCGCATGTCTGCTGATGAAGTACTTTAACAAGTCTAACAAAGGCCAACCTCACACTGTGCCACCTGCCACCAGCTAAAGAGATTTCGGTCATTACTTGCTCCTTTTTAAATATCATCAAACATCGGCCCTTTCATCATTCCGAGTGCGTGACCTTCAAGTTCACAGCTCCTCTAAGCGTAACTGACGGAACCTGTGTGGGTCAAAGCTGGACTAATTTTATACCTCTGCTTTTGACAAGACCTAAAAATAGAGAGCTTCGCTGACCTCCAGTCCAGTCGGGTCTCGGCGGCTCGTTTGAGGTCCCCCCCCACAAACACACACACACATACACACACCCCTTTTGACGTCACCTCGACTGAACTGCTTCTTTATTTTTAGACGCTTCCAAAATTAATTGAATGGTCTTGTTTCGTCGAGTTTGTGCGGTGTTATGTAAGGGGATTACTCTGTTGTTATTGCCTATGCCCTGACCATGTAGGCCACCACACAGAGGAGGGGGGTGGAGACAGAGAGTAGAGGGGACTCGGGGTGGAAGAGGAGGGTAATGTAGTTAAGGTAGTAGTACAGGGCTCCAGAAATAACCCAGCTGCGGGCCTAATTGTACATCTCTCTTGCTCCCTTTTCCCTCTTCAGCTGCATGCCAAGGTCTTTGACCTTATCATCCACCTCACTGGTTCCGGAAGAATCCTTTCCGCCCCCCGTGGCTACCAAAGCCCCAGCCGATACACAGAGCACAGCAGCAGACCATCTCCAGCCTCAGACTAACAGCCAAGCGCCACAACCAGTTAGGAGTGATCCCAGCAGAGCGCCCAAGTGGCTCAAACTGCCAGGTATGTTCTAATCATCCCCGGCGTGGGCCCCGTGGCTCCTTAACAAAGCTTAGCCTTAGGACCCCAGGCACCTCAGAGAGGCCCGGGGCCTCCAGGAAACCCGCATGTCACAGCAGTATATACAGTCAACAGAGATGCTGTGTCTGTATTTGCATTCTCTCCACACACGCAAGCTTTTTGTAAAACGCATGCGCACCAAACACCGTGACCACGTTTTGTTTGTGTTGTTTTTTTGGGGTTTTTTTTGACAGGGCTGTAAATGTTTGTAACTTTTCATGTGTGCGTGAGTTGCGTGTGGAGCATCTAAGAGGAATGCACTCGCTCTGTGTCCCCTGCAGCATTCCTCCATGGTTAGACAGCTCCATGCCCATGAGGGGGCCACAAGGGCCTCTTGTCTCCTCGGTACTAATGCATCACAGCCCCAGATCAAGCACAACATGCATGCAAGCACATACGTGCACACAAACATCCGAGAGCAGATGCATGCCATCACATATTTATAAAATGACTGCTCACAAACAATGTGTAATTGAAATGTTGGGGGTGAAAATGGCACCAATGGCAGATGACACCTGTGGCTTCTCTGTGGATTAACATTTCCTGTCGTGGACTTGTCTTTGCAAGAATTATAAATTAACTTGCATGCCAGAAGATCTTATTCGTCTTTTCCAGACTTCAGTCAAATGTTTCAACCACATTCAAGAAAAAGTACAAGGTCTGTCAGATAAAAAGACTTGAAGAATTACTAATGAGAATGATGTATATGGCACAGTAAATGTTTTATGTTTGCATTCATGGTGAATGTTTCATGTGCCGTATAAGCCGATAAACTTTGACGTAGCTCATACACTTCACATTTTGCCTGCTTGCATGTCGTTACAGCCATCTAAGAAAATCCAACAGTCAGGGAAATGGGTGTATTATGATCACTTGTCATAGACGGGACCCTAGTTTGGGCCCCGAGAAGAAAGGAGCAAGATGACAGAAAGTTGGAGAGATGGACGAAGCTGTGTCACTCTAACAGAAAAAAATCAACCACAGACTAGTGAGTCGGGAATTAAGGAAATCTGACATAATCCTAACAGACCCTCACAGGGTCTCTCAAGCCTGATGCAGACGACTCCACCCCAGACAAGCATCACCGTAAACCACAATTACTGTTATGACACAGCCTTATCAGGCTCGGACACAGACCTGCAATCTGTATTTGTATAAAAAATAGTAAACCGAAGTGGACAGCCTTTAGTTTTATTATTCAAAAAAAAAAATCCTGGCAGTCACTGGTGCTGCTTTAATATCTGTATTGATATTGATGGCTACAATCAGGCAGATATCTTCGAGTGATGAGGCCCTTGTCCCATGTGCTGCGCTGTCCAAAGAGCAGCCAGAAGGCTGGAGACAGATCAGTCTGTTTCTCCTGGGAACAGCTTCTCACTCCAGAGCTTCTCCAAAGTGTCTGGACTGGCTGTCGACACTCCCTGCCTTTAATGTATGATCAAGAAAAGCTTTAACTCATTACTCTCTTCAACGCCCCTCCCCATTCTTGTCCTAACTGCTTTCGTATGTTTAATAATACTGCCTTCAGATGTAATTTGTTCCACTAAGATGCATAAGGAGAAAAGTTGTACAGTAGTGCACCACTTCAGCAGGACTGAGACTTTTCAGCAACTCATATGGTGGAAAAAAGAAGAGATGAGAGATCCAAGACAATTATTTTTATTTCATTTGAGATGATTGACAGCTGGGGATTCATTTCATCTTTTACAAACGACCAGAAAAGCTACATACCAAAAAACACCTTTTTATCTTACTGTGGAAATTAGTGCGGATGTATTCCACTTTTTCATAAAGATTATTTGGCACCATATCTGGTATTTAAATTCATTTTAAATGAGTGAGCAGGTTGTCAAAGCAGTGGAGCTGCAGTTTTCTGTGCTCCTAAAAACTAGAGGGCAGGACTTGCTGCTGTGAATGACTCTAATTCATAGGTGTGGATATATATTTTTTGAAAATGTTCATTTGTCTCCCCCTATAAACACATGAAAGTAGCAGAGGGCTTTTATCATGATAAAATTAAAGACAATTACACCATATATTGATGCAGAAAATGCACGAATAGGAGCATAACAATTCACCAGAATGTAAGAAATTAAGTGTTTGATGCTCAAAATTTTCTGGTGGATGTCCTCTTTCTGTCTTTATTAACCCAACTAATTATTTAACCTCCTTTCTTTTTGCATTAATGGCTAAATTTCACTGAACCACACACACCTTCCACTGAAGGCCTGCTGTGGATGTTTCTCCTGGGAAACACAAATCCAGTCTGGGCCCTACTAAAAAAGGTGCTGGGTCAAACTCCAGGTGCTGCGTCCTTGAGCACCTATCTGAGCCCGGACTTCAGCCTAAGTTGCTTCCAGCTGCATGTGAGCGGCGTTTGTAAGCGTAGTGAGTCACGGGAGAGCCACACAAATAAATAGTGTGAGGTGTTGTACAGCTATGCTGACTCATAGTAAAGACATGTTGGTCAAATACACCACTGGTGGAAAAACCATCAGAGGCACTTTGGGTTAGAAAACCCCACATTACGCTCTCCCTTGTAGGCCCAGCTTCCCCCTCTGCTGTGGTGAAAGGAGAGAAAGCACCTCTACTACTCGCCTCTTTTGTTTATTTACCTTCAGAATTGCACCCTGCTCTTCTTGGACCATGTTCCAATGTGTTTTGTTATGTTTCCTTTCAAACAAAATATCTATGCGTGTGGTCTCTGGCCATGTTTGGCTAACACATGCACGCATTCATGCACGCACACTCCCATTCAACTTTCCCCCTGTGCCAGAGGTCCCCTTTGCCCTTCCCCCCACCTCTAACTAAACATCGCAGGACAGCAAAAGGGAACTTCAAAGTGGCCGGAGGGGGTACTCCTTTTTTCCTGGCACTTGTCATCATCTAAGGGACTGGCTGCTCCCCTTATTACTCTAATTGCTTCCAACTGCTCCAGGAGGCTTTGATGAAGGGCACTATGGAGCATGCTGGAAGCACCTGTTGTTGCAGAGGAGCACAGGTGGGCCTTATTGGTGGTGGCATGGAGGCGTGCGGACAGCGCCGCAGCTTTCTACTGAAAATCACACGTCTCAAACACATACAGAAAGACGTAATTAATTAATGTAATCTCTCTATTTGAGTGGTTGTGAAATTACAGATATACAGAAAAAATAAGCAGAATTGAAGTTGGAGGATTCAAGCAGGAACACACAGGCAACACTCTGGCTCCATCTTGTGGCTTTGCCATGCTAGAAGTCCAGCAGCTGCATTGGAAAAGAGATGAAAAACTGTGAGATTATTATTGGAAATAAATCTTTTGAAACAGACTTATCCTATGTCGAATTTGCTTTTATGTCTGACCATCATTTTCTATAACAAACTACGAGCAGCTTGAGCAGGTCTGTGGGATTTCGGGAATTTATTTCAAATCAAACAGCACAATCTGAGGCATCTAGGCTGAGTGTGCATCACAGAAATGATTCAGAATTCAGGAGCCAAACAAGAAAAATAACATGCCCTGCTGGTCTAAACAACAAATCCATATTACACGGGACACTGGAGCAGCCTTTGCATTGCATTATTAAAATCTCTGGCTTTTAAATAACTTATAAATCTACAGTCTTTTAAGATACGCACCAGCTGAGGGAGGATCTTTTCAAAGTGCTCTATCTCTACTTGATCGCAGTCTTCAGCCTCAGCTTGTTTCTGTGATCTCACAGCCGCCTCTGGGAACAAGATAACACATTATATTAACCGTTTTATCATTAGGCAATCTGTATACAAGTGTTCCCAGCAGAACTCCTTACCTTGGACAAATACTTTAAGCATCTCTGCCATGAGTAGCACAGCATCGCCACTTACTGTAACAGAGAGTGGGATTTAGTGAGCTGTGGAATCACATATAAAACAGTTTTGGAGTTGTCAAAGATAAACAGAAGGGACCCCAAGGAGTTGCACTTGAGATAGTTCTGAATATTTTTTGGGTCTTCTCTTGTTTGCCTAGTTGCTAACTAAGCAGCAGTTGTAGCATTGCTAGGTGCGTTAGCCTCACCCTCTGCACTTTCAAGTGGACGGTGTCAGAGTCTGTTAAAAAGTTATGAAACAATCCATTGTGCCACACAAGAATGCCTGTACACTTGACACAGTAATACAGCTAACTGGCTAAGATGCAAAAATAATTACAGGTGCCGCACAGCGATGTAGCGTTAGCTAGCTCACATGAACACATAACGATTCCTGGGTAACAGTCAGCCTGTCAAAAATGTTGTGTACTGTTAACTAATAGGTTTTATGAATAGACTAATTATTTTGGCTAATAATTTGTTAGATTCACGTTAATGTGGATTTTCAGACACATTTTACTTACTAAAACATTCATTAGTTAATTAGATTATTTAGAGGTCATTTGGTGGCCCCCCTATAGTAACTCTGAGGACCCTCTAGGGGTCACGGACCCCCTGTTGAAGACCCAGGGAATAGAATATATCTTTATTGTCTACCATGGATGAAGATTTGTCTTCAGCGCAACAAACACAAAAGACACTGTTACAATTAAGATGACCGTACCAGGCAGGAAGGTGAAAAGTTAAAACACTCTCAACCATAATTTTGTACACTAATCTATAATCAGCTGACTAACACTGAGGCCACTGCGTTTCCTAAGACGATAAGGTTGCTGTGAGCATCTCTTGAAAATATACTCAGTATTTCCAGAGAAGCTCACATGGGAGTCCAAAACCGTACCAAGGTATTTATTTCCACAACTTCAACACGTTGTCCATCGAGTGAAACTGGCTCTGTCTTCAGATCTTGTTTTGTGCAAATAATCAATTCTTTAGTCTTGGCCATATTACATTCTAACTCGCTGATGCAACACCATGTTTAAAGGGCTTTAGTGTGGGCCTGTGTCTGCTCTCTATAAAAGACCAACTAAAGCCATGTCGTCAGCATATTTAAACAATCTAACATATTTCTCATTGATCATAAATTCATTAGAAAACTGAGAGAATAGCACAGGAGAAAAACCTCATCCTTGTGCGCAGCCTGTGCTCACAGTGAGCACATCTGACATGCTCCCCCTGACACAGACTCTCTGTGTCTCTGACTGAGAGAACTAACACTGCATTAAAGTTCAGACCAACTGGCCCCCCAAAATTCCACAAATGAAACCCTGGCATATCTTTTTGAATATGTTTATCCAACTCACGTCTGGTTTTGTCCTCCTTGAAGAAACTTGACAAGAGTTTGCTCACTGTTTCCTGTAAATGAGGAGAACAGAGACCCTTGTAACACAGTGTATGTGACAGTAGTAGATGATCTATGTTTACCAATGACACAAACTAAATACACTTAATGTTATACATTTAGTGAATGGTGCACAGTTTTTTGTGTAGATATGAACACAACATAGTTTTCCAAATAAAATGTCACCTTTTTTCCACTTCAAATATCACTGCTTTTGTCTTGTAGCTTGCTAATGTTACGCTGCTTCCTCATATCAAAGTGCTTTTGGGAAAACGGCAACTTAACGGGCGAAAGCGCCGAACTCTGGTTTTATCGCGAAATAGTAACTACAGAGCACTTTTTCTAAAACAATACAAACCGCTCTTCCATTCGGCATACATATATTGCTCATTCACCGCATAATATCTCAGCGATGTATAAAGTTTAATCGTCTCACAGACTAACAAGGAGCAGCTGATGCGCTCTGTAAACAGGGTCGGCGTTAATGTTTAATGGAAGAAAATAAATGAAATTCAGCGACAAAGACGAAGCAATAATTCCGGTTTGTTATTTATCCACAAGGAAAACCGACTAAGTATAAAAGACATAAACAAAGTAGCTATATTCTTCTACCTTTTTGAATCCAATTTCTGTCTCCTTCTCCGCCATGTTTGTGACGCTGTGAGAGAAACTTGGCGCGCTCTGCGTAGCGATTGGTCGCTGACCTCTTACGTCATTCGCACCGCCTTCCGTCTTTATTTTTTCATTTTTTTTTTTTTTTAAATTTTATTTATTTATTTATAATCGAAATATAGATTGTGTGATAGTTACATCATTTTAAGCAATTATAAACGTTTTCCTATTTATTTTTAGTTTTTTAAAACATCACATTTGTAATACGTGAATACCTCATTTTGTAGTTGACATACACACCATATTTTAATATTTTTCATAAGCCTTGGCCTATATTTTTAAGGTTTGTTAAATGTTATTTCCCCATCTTTAAAAAAAATAGGACACAAGACAAAGACAAGACAAAACTGAAGCTTTACACTTAAAGGGCCAGTGTGTAATATATGGCATGGTTTATTGTCAATCTGAATCTGAATCTGAATATTCTACCCATTAATATGTTTATACAAGTGTATGATCGCTATAAAATAAAATTCGTTTGGTTTTCGTAGCCTTATAATTATGCTTTTATATATATATATATATATATCAAGGGCCTTGCTTTAGAGAGGTCGCCATCTTGCGCCGCCATGTATGTACGGCAGACCGAGCGGACAATCCAGCCAGCCAGAGAACGCGTTTTGCGTGTATAAATGAACCAACGAAGACAGCGGAAGGAAGGAAGAAGGAGGAAGAAACAGCAGAGAGTGTTAGTAGTTCGTCGATAGAGAGTAGTGAAAAGTTTTTTTAGTTATAAAGTTTGCGAATGGACCACACTTACCACGCAACAGGAGAGAATGAACCCGAACCGTCATCTGCGAGGAAAAGAAGACGCAACTTCACTCCTTGTGATGCACTCTCTGCGGTGCTTTTCCTCCTGGTGATATATCTCCCAACGATGGTAGCAGTAGCACCGAATCCCATTCTGTGCATTCAGCCTCTCTTCTCACCCGCTCAGCATCAAACACATGGAGTTCCTCATCTGTATGCTCCGGCTCAAACAGGTATGGCTCTGGATCTTTGTCCGCTACAAGAAACTCTTCAAAATCGCGTTCAAAGTCGTCCATTGCAGCTACTATAGTCCGGAGATATTGCTAGGCTAAATAAACAGCTGAGCCCTGTTACCGGCTACGCTGTCAGTCAGTGTGCGGGCTGGAGATTGGTGGAGCAGAGAGGGGAGGGGGGTCCCCACTCGGGATGGTAAACGAGTATGTGTGTAAAGTTATGAAGTGTGTCTGTTATGCTAGAAGAGTCAGAGTTTGGGATGGAGTGGAGTGTTACCGGAGTTTCTGGAGTGCTCAAATAAACTGGCCTTTTTCCCAAACACTCCTCTGGTCTCCTGCTCGTGAGTGATTCATTACAATATCGTAACATGGCTTAGATTTCTAAATAAACATTCACCTCGTCGCTAGATAGACCTACTCCTGAAAAAGTCGTGCGCAAGGCTTTTTGTCCCTACGAGGCCACCGTCATTTACCCGACGGGAGGGGTGAGCGAGTGAGCCCTGCAATCTAGAATTTGACCACTGATGTCACTGTTTTCAACCCATTTCACACACTGGGCCTTTAAGAGCAATAATGTGGCAAGTATGAGTTAAGTGTTTTGCAAAGTGTTACATACTTTTATAAACTACAGATCATATTTCTTGTGATCAAATGTTTATTAGGATTTGAAGGACATCAATACATTCACCAGCACATAAATAAAATAAATATATAGACACATATGCATACACACATACATATACACAGATATGCACACATATATACACATACATACACCCAATAATAATAATAAAATAAAAATAAATAAATAATAGAAATACAAGTAATAAGTAATTAAATAAGAAAAACTGCCACAAAAACAAAGAAACAAAGTGCCACTGATGTATAACCTAATTAGAGCTATCAAAATGTTAGATGCCATCCACAATCTGCAAAGTACACCAAAAAAAAAAAAAAAAAAAAAAAAAACCCAACAGGGAACATCAACCAAAGAAAACAGGACCAGAGGGGGTGGGGGAGGTGGGGCCTCACACTAAAAGGCCTTTGAGAGCCTCCACTGTTCGAGCCCAGCACATTGTCACTTCCTCCATTGCCCCATGGACGCGTGCTGTGGACAGTTCCAGAAGCACATCATCTATGAAATTAAGCAGCCACTGTCGTCGAGTTAGTATATGGGGAGGTTTCCACCTTGTTGCAACCATCTTCTTAGCTGCAGTCAGGCCAGCCAGAAACACGCGCTTTGGGGATTTTGGAAGTTTCAGTTGAGAGAGATCATTTAAAATAAAAACAGATGGGGACAGGGGGATAGGAATGGACATGAATGAGGACAGTACTCCCTGCACCATTTTCCAAAAATTAGCAACACCTGGGCATTCCCAAATCATGTGGAAAAAGGTACCTGCTGTGCCTATAAAACATAGTGTACAGTTCAGATTATCTTTAAGTTTCATACTGTAAAGTTTACGAGGAGTCATATATGTACGGTGAATGAAATTTAGATGGATCTGTTTGTGGTCAGGATTTCTGGATGACTGTTTAACTGTATCCCAGACACCATCCCAGCTGAAGTCGGGGTCCAGGTCAGGGATATCTGCCCGCCAAGACACATTAACTGGCAGAGTAACGTATGATTTTTCCAGGAAATAGTGATACGGTTTAGATACAATTTTTCTTGATTCCCGGGCCTGACGCAAAAGCTTGATCAAAGAGTGCTCCTCCTGTGGACCTTGCCAAGGTACGCCATATGTTTTCATGGCTGTTCTTATAAACTACAGATCATATTTTATTCACTAACACTGGCTGCAGTAAGAAAGTAAACATCTCATCTATATACTAACATCCCCATGTCTCTGACAGTCTTTGAATAAACCATAACATAGAATAAAACTTTATTATCCACCCAAAGTTGACAATAGTCACAAGACACAACAAGCATTTGAGAGCATTATTTACATCCTTATGTTTTTAGTCTTTGAGGTTACAGAATATTATAGCTACTCCACATTAGTTTAAGTTCACAATCCCCAGATTGATTTACATATAGCTTACATTTATGATTTTAGACGTAGAGAAAAAGTTAGACAGTATTTTTTAATTCATCATCTTGGTCTTTATCTAACCACTGAGCATCCTCCAGTATGTAGCTCAACCCGAGTGAACGCCGAGTTCGAGGCAAACTAGCGGCTGCAGCGACCTCCTCATCTGAATCCTCCTCTATCTGAAAGACAGAATTTTAAAATCAGGTACTGCTAATCAACATTTCAACATTTTACATCCAACATGAGAACAGCTCTAAACCAGCTCTGCTCCAACAGAGGGAGAGAAACAAGTCACCTTTGGATTCACAACTCGTGTCACTTCCACAATGCCTCCAATGTAGTGAGGACCAGCCCATTCTGCCCTGTCTGCTTCATCTTTAGTAGCAAATCTCACATAGGCCACTGCCTTATCTTCCCCCGAGATGGGGCTCCTCTTAACCTGGCATCCAGTGCAACAGATAAATTAATTTGTAAAAATAAGTGACAAAATATCCAAGATCTTCATAACTTGTTAAAAAAATAAAGCATTCAGTATTTACCTTACACAATGTTGTCCTCTATACTATGTGATGTATTGTGTTGCATTTTATTCTAGGCATGTGAACAACATGTACTCGACATGTAACTTTGCTACCTTCTTTGAAAAGGAAAAATTTAACTCAGTGGATTTTTATCTGGTTAAATAATTCCAGTGGCACACTAGATGTGTTCAAACTAATTTATTTTCATACAGCATGTTCAAGATAATAACTCATAAACTTTCACAGAATATGAAAAATAACTACACATAAAGAAATACACATCCTGACATACAACAGGAGCTCTATGTATAAATAAATGTTCACCGCTCCATTATGAAGCTAACAGTCAGCACATTAAGAGCTCACACATTATGGAATATGTTTGATGTCACACTTTACTGTTTCTGGTTTTGCTTGTTTTGTTCTCATTGTGTTTTGTGGACAATTGTCCTGATTTCCTGATGGCGTCTCATTGCTCTGTTGTTCAGCCACAGACTGAGGGGAAACACATTATTATATGGAGGACAGCGTTCACACAAATGCCTTCTCAGATTGTAGGTGAATTCGTTAAGAAAGAGATTAAGATGTACTGAGACTACTCACCTCATCTATGAGGGGAAACCAGACTACTTTGTTCGTAAATGGCTTGCAAACTGGCAATGAGGAACTTTTTGTCTTTACCCTCCTGTATACAACAACCAGAAAAAATTAATTAAGATCAATATCAACATACGGTGTCAACGATTTTTAGACATGCTAACAAATATTTAAACAACTATTTGATGGATTTCCATGAAATTTGGTAAAAACATTCACAGTATCCAGACACTGTTTTGGTGATTTTGACATTTGTGTTTTTCCATGACATGACCATCTCCTGATTTTTCCTCTGGCACCACCATAAGTCAACGTTTTCACATATCTATTGAAATATCTCAGTCTATAGGCCCGTTTCCACTAAAGAAGTTCCTGGTGCTATTTGGGGGGCAGGAACTACTACAGAAACGTCCTCTCGCTTGGCCCTCTCAACCGCCGTGTCTCCACTGAGAGAGCAGAGTAGGAGGAAGGTTCCTGTAAAGTTACCAGGCTCTGTATGTGATGTAATCGTTGCGCGACCATTTTGACCGGGGCGACGTAGGGGCGTAGGGATGCCGTTAGCCGTTGGTGGTGTCTGTAATAACTCTGGTCACGGTCCGTGAAAAAAATATTTTTTCCAGCAGATGTCTTAGTTACAACATGATTGAGCTAACTGGAGTAGTTTCATGTCGTATCCGACAACGGGAGGCTTTTAACAGATCACGTCCTGATGTTAGCTTTGCTGCTGCTGTTAGCTGTCCTTGTCAGCTGATGCTTTCTAGACATTGTGATTTCCCAAAACTGAATAAATACCACACATAGCAACACAAAACTGCTTTGCTAGCTCAATCATGTTGTAACTAAGATATCCGCTGGAAAAAATATTTTTTCACGGACCGTTTA